GCAAAGATCCTGGAGTGGTTTGCTATTTTCTTCTCCAGCTCATTTTATAGATGAGGAAACTAAGGTAAACAGAGTTAAGTGACTTGCCTAGGGTTACATAGCTAGTAAGTGTCTAAAGCTAGTAGGTATCTGAGGCTGGATTTAAACTCAGGTCCTCCTGATTCCAGGCCTGGTGCCCTATCCATTGTGCCACCTACCTGCCCCAAAAGCTGTAAATTAGCTTATGGCAATGATATGATATAGGTCCCTACGATGAATGAATGAAAAAGCCCTCATCCTATGAGCTGGCATTGTGCTAAAGTGTGGAAATATACTTATAAAAGTGAGACAGTCTCTGCCCTCAGAGAGCTTATATTCTGGAAAGAATCAAATGAGATAATAATTGTAAAGCACTTAGTTCAGAGCCTGGCACATAGTAAGTGTTATATCAATGTTAGCTATTGTTATTATAAATAGAGAGACAGCTATGTAGAGGAACAGTGGTCAGGGAAGGGAGTTTTGCACAGAAATGGTGAGTGAAACCATAGGGCAGCCAATTGGCAAGACCTTTTCAGGTAATGGCATTACTGTGTTGATAACTTTGGTGCTGGCATGAAGCATGATCTAGGGTCAACAAATAAAATGAGCTAGTCGAATTTGTACTCACTAACCAATTAATGACATCTCACCCCCTAGAGCAGCAGTTCTAAAGCTTAGTGGATTATATCAACTAGATAGTCAACAACCTTCCTTAACAATAGAGATTATCTTACATTTCTATGCCTTTCATATACAAGGCTTTCAATAAATATTGTTAGGTTATTGATTTATGTGTTTTATTTGTGGCCCAGCTTCATTCCCCAGTGGACTTTGGGCTCACCAGGACAAGGCTTAATCCTTGGGGCCTGACCCCTAAAAATCTCTTAGCATCTCTCTTTGCTTTGGTTCTTTGCCCTTATTCAGGAGTTTTACTCCAGGGGAAAATCTCCTGATTAAGTATGGCTTGTGTTTAAGCTGACTCACATGTTGGTAATGGTCACCAAGTCCCAAATAGGCATGTGGTGTGTAATATGTGGGTATTAAGTGTGGGGCAACCTTTAGTAATTCCCACTGAAAAAAATGTATGAGATGCAAATGATATATTGGAGCTCATGAAAAAAACCCAAAGAAACACAAATCACTCAAGTAGTTTGTTAGATTCTCCCCCGAAAATAAATACACTTTGGGGGATTGCTGGACAAATACTCCCCATTCATTCACCTAGCACTGTTTCTAGCTGAGACTTCATGACAAGGCTTTGCACCTTGTGGCCTTCTCAAATTGATTGGGGCAGTCATCAGTTTGAATAAGCACTCGCCTGATCACCCCCATTATGTATGGATCTGCGGAAACATCCATACTTTTCTTGTGCATTTAAGCTTTGGAGATATAAATAAATAATGAAAAACAGTGAGAAAGAGGAAGAGAACTTGACAGAGGCAAAATAAATCTTCACCCCTGCATTTAAAAATAGTTAAATAATTTTATAAAATATAAATGTATAAGAAAAGTATAGAGGATTGTGCATTTTATGAAAATCTATACAAATCATCGCCAAAATAAACAACTAGTCAGAACTGTCTTACTAGTGTTTATCCCCCCACTTTCACTACTTTTGAAGCTTGATGTCTCAGGCATTAATGTTGACAGGCTTCAGTATGAAAGTTGCCTGTTCTAAGCATAAATAAGTTCAGAAATCAGTCTTTATACTATATCATAGACTCAGAGAATGGTAAGCCTGGAAAAGACCTAGGATCACTTCGGCTGACCCCTTCATTTTGTAGGTGAAGAAGCTGAGATCTAGAGATCTAAGGTCACACAGCTAAGTTAGTGGTGGAGACAGACCTAGGGGCACCTCGGTGGTGCAGCAGATAGAGTTCTGGGTCTGAAGTCAGGAAGACTCATCTTCTTGAGTTCAAATCCAGCCTTAGACATTTACTTGCTAGGTGACGCTGGGCAAGTCACTTAATCCCATTTGCTTTGGTTTCCTCATCTATAAAATGAGCTAGAAAGGGAGTGGCAAACCACTCCAGTATCTCTGCCAAAAAAACTCCAAATGGGGTCATGAAGAGTCTGACACAACTGAACAACAGCAAAAAACAGACCTATGTATGCTGGAAGACCCAGCTTCCCCAAGAAGTCCCATCTTATATATGTGAAATATAATAATAATTACTAATAATAGTTATAATTATTAATAACAATTATTATTATTACCTCCCATCAGAAATGACTTTCTCCCCCTCCCTCAGATCTCACATAGCACCTTGTTTATACCTCTCTAGTAGTCTTACCATGTTTAGTTTTCTATTGTAGTTATTTATGCTAAGGGTTATATCCTCTTTATTAGATCTGAGGAGAAAGAATGCGTCTTATTCATCTTTTTTTCCTCTCATGCCAACCAGGCACAATGTTCTTTCTCTCACTTTTGCATAAAGGAAGGATTTTTGATCTTATTAAAGCCAATATTGGTAGATTAGCATGAGTTTAGATGCCTTTATGTAAGTTGTTAAAATTTAGGTTCCTTGACACCTAACCCTGATCTCATGGCTATCATCCTTTCTCTAAATTTTCTCTCTTCTCCAGTCCATCCTCCATACAGCTGCCAAAATCATCTTCCTAAAGCACAGGTCTAATCGTGTGACTCCTTTGTTCAAAAAACTCTAGTGGTTCCCGATTGACTCCAAGAAAAAATATAAATTCATTAACTTGAAATTTAAAGCCCTGGAACAATCTGACTCAAACCTACTTTTCCAGACTTATACCACCCTACTCCCACTTCAGCCAAATTAGCCTTGCTGTTCCCAGAATGTGGCATTCCGTAGCTGTCCTTTGTACCTTTATATAGGCTGCAAATACTAGAATTTATTTCATCCTCACTTCTGTCTCTAAGAATCTTTAACTTCCTTAGGTTCATCTCTACTGCAGTGCTTCATAGTCGAGACACACAGTTTAAGAAGTGCTGATAGGAATCTCCAGTGGAAAAAGTTTAAGAAGCTCTGATCTATAGGAAACTTTTCCTGATTCCAGTGGTTGTTAGGAACTTTTCCTTCTTCAGATCGCCTTGTACTTAATTATATGTTTACATGTTGTATCTCTTACTAGACTGTAAGCTCCCTGAGAACAGGAGCTGACATTTTTGTCTTTCTATTTCCAGCCCCCATTAGATTTTCACTGTAGTAGTGATTAGGAAAGAAATGAGCATTTAAGTGCTTTATAAATATCATCTCACTGAATCCTCACAATAACCCTGAGAAGTATTCTTACCCCCATTTTACAGTTGAGGAAACTGCAGTAGTCAGAGGCTAAGTGACTTGCTTAGTATCACACAGTTGGTAAGTGTCTGAGATTGGATTTGAATTCTTCCTAACTCCAGGCTCAGCGCTCTATCCACTATACCACATAGGTTCCCCTGAGTAGGGTAGAAGTTCTTAATTTTTATCTATGCCATCAACCCCTTTGACAGACTAGTGAAGCCTATGGATTACTTCTCAGAATAATGTTTTTTTTTTTTAAAGTTCATAGTTAAAGGAAATACTAAATTTGATGAGAAGTTAGTGAAAGTAAAGATTCATTTTCCCATCTAAGTTCATCAACCCCCTGAAATTTACCCACAGACCCCTTCGTTGTTCATGGGCCCCAGATTAAGAAACTCTGTAATAGAATGTGCAATATAGAGAAGAATTCTTCTCATTCTTTGCTTAGACTTGTATTTATAGTTCTCCCCCTACAAATTTATATGTGAAATATTTTATCTAGAGGATGAGAACTGAATTCAATAAAATTTCAATAATATTGATAATCAGAACAGCTATAGTATGAGCTTTGATTCCTAGAAATAGAACTTGAGGTGTTTTTGTTTTTGTTTTAAGGAAAATACTATTGGGTGTCTTAAACTAGATCTCATAGACATCTTAAGTCAACATGTCCAAAACTGAACTTTGCCCTCAAACTCTCCCCTCTTCCTGACTTTCCTGTTCTTGTGGAGTGTACAACCATAGTCCTGGGAAACCCGGGCTCAAAATCTAGGCATCATTCTTAACTCTTCACACTCTCTCACTGCCCCCTTCCTCCCCCCATCTCTCAGTCTGTTCCCTTTCAGCCCACTTCTTTCTTCTGACACTGCCACTAACCTGGTGTAAGACCTCATTACTTTATGCCAGTGGGTTTTCTGGTTGGTCTTCCCACCTCCAGTCCTTTCCTCTTCCAATCTGTCTTCCACCCAGCTGTCAAATTGATCTTCCTAAAGCACAGGTCTAACCATGTCGCTGCCATATTCAATCAATTCCAGTGGGTCCCTCTTACCTCCAGGATCAAATATAAAATCACCTGTTAGATTTTTAAAGCCCTTCAAAATCTGTCCCCTTCCTACCTTTCCAGTCTTACACCTTACTTCCTTGCATATACTCCACATCCAGCAATACTGGCTTCCTTGCTGTTCATCACATAAGACACTCCATCTCCCAACTCAGGACATTTTCATTGGATGTCCACCATGCCTGGAGCCTTCTCCCTCCTCGTCTCCAATCCTGGGGCTTGCCTGGATTCCTTCAATTCTGAGCTAAATTCCTCCCTTGTGCAAGAAGCCTTTTCCAGTCCTCCTTAATCTAAGTGTTTTCCCTAGAGACTACTTCCAATTTATCCTGTATATATTTTGTTCGTATATTACTTTTTGCGTGTTGTCTTTGTCTTTTGAGCTCTTAGAGAGCAGGGACTTTTTTTGGGAGGGCTTTTTTTTTAAAAAAAAAAAAACCCAGTGCTTAGTAAGGTGCCTGGCATTTAGTAAGTACCTAATTCACTCTTATTGACTTGACAGGATTTGACTTAACCTCTCTTCCTCAAACCCCTTTACTCTTTCCCCCATCCCCATCTCCATCTCCACTCCCAACATCCTTGCCTGTTGCTTTTGGGATTTAGTAGTGCTAATCTTCAAATTCTGATAGCGTGTTATAAACAGCAAACATTTTCTTATTTTGTTCCAGGAGAAGCTCATAGCCGAAAGAAGAGTTCCTATTCTGCAGAGCCAGCTTGAAGAGTACAAAGGTATCCTGGCCCAGTTACAGATGCAGAAATCCAAACTGCAGGCTGAGGTACCTTTTGTTCTAATCCCCAGGGACATTAGGCCGCCCCCTTTACTACCCTGACACCTGCAATAGCATTAAATTGTAGTGTAATGCACCAATGCTCCCCATGTTTCTTTAGACTGTCAAGATTAAGAGGAAGTGTGTAAGTCTTGATTTTTATCCAACATCCCATTTTCTCTCTGCCTGTCCCATTCTTTCCTTGTGGTAACACCAAGCTTAGAAAGCATAATTATGCTTGTCTTCTCTTCAAGCTAGAAATTTGGTTAAAACAAACCTTAAATGTGTACTTCATTGGGTATCAAGTTTGTTTGGAAAAACAAAGGAAACCAAAGTGCTGTTCACTTTATTTTACACCATTTTTTTTCTTGCCAGCATGCTTACCCCACCCCCAACCCCAGCCCCCAGTTTCTATCTCTGCTTTCGTTCTTCCTGTTTTCACATCTAGTTTTAAAACCTCACACTTTAAGCTAAAATGGCTGAGTACACTGCCACTCCAAAAGGGAATGGAAGAGAATAAGCATTTACATAGTGCAGGGCACTGTGCTAAGTGCTTTGCCCAAATACTATCTCGTTTGATCCTTACAAAACCCCTAAGAACTAGGTGCTATTATTTTCCCCATTTTACAGTTGAAGAAACTGAGACAAACAGAGGTTAAGTGATTTGTCCAAGGTCACACAACTGGTAAGTATCTGAGGCTGGATTTAAACTCAGGTGTTTCTGACTCTAGGAACAGCACTCTATCTACTATGTCACAAACTACTTTAAAACTAAATTTAACAAAAAATACAGGAGCCATATTAGAGAATTTTCTTCCCATTCTAGGTCCCTTTAAGGCTATGATGATGAATCATGAATAGGAAAGCCAAATCATCTTGTGGAAGGATTAGAAACAGGCTAGAAGAAAGGCAGGGCAGTTAGGTGGTACAGTGGATAGAGTGCTGGGCCTGACTCAAGAAGACCTGAGTTCAAATCTGCACTCAGACATTTAGTGGTTGTGTGACCCCAGGCAAGTCACTTAACCGTGCTTGCCTGAGTTTCCTTATCTGTCAAATGAGCTGGAGAAGGAAATGGCAAATCACTCCAGAATCTTTGCAAAGAAAACTCCAAATGGGGTCACAAAGAATGGACATGACTAAACAACAACAAAGGGGAAAAGTGGGGAAAGAATTATTTTCTGGGAAAGCTTCACTTGTGTCATTGTGTGTAGAGGCCTACTGTTGCCCATTGGCTAGCTGTCACAGAGAAAGAATCATAGAATCTCAGAGTGGGAAGGGAACCCAGAAATTATATAGGCCAACCTCAACCTTGACCACATAGAGTAATGTTGCTGCTTATGTAGGCCAGATCACTACTCTAGAAGTTTACCAAAAAAGTTGTATTAATGATATTAAGAAGATGCGAACATATACCCTATTGTTTCTTTTGAGAGGATGTATAGTATCATAATAATTTATATGAATTCTTGAATCTCTATAGGATTTATGAACTCTAGGCGCTACATATTATGTATATATATGTATATATGTGTGTGCATATGCATGTGTGTATATGTACATGTGTATGTATACACACATAGACATATTTATGTATGTATAAACTATTAGATCTCTCTGGGATTTTAAGAAAGGCAGAGGAATCAGTGAGGAACGAGGACGAAATCTGACAGAAATGAGTAGAACTTAGAAAAGATGCAGAGCTAAGGAGAGTAACAAATGCTTTTACTGACACAATAGCACCATCTGATAGATTCAGTGTCAGGGAAGTTATATTTAGGAAGAAAAAACCCAGCTGAGGCAATTGATATTGTAGCCAATTCACTAACTTGGATTGAAATGTATCAAAGCTCACAAAAATAATTTTTTTCAATAAATGATTTGGCGCCACCTTGTGGTAGGTTTCAGCAAAGCTACATATTAATAAAGCATGTAGGTAGTTTAGTCCCCAGCCTCTTCATTTTTAACAACATTGTAAAGATGAACAATGTTGAAAGATTTAAGCACACTGATCAATGCAACGATCAATCGCGATTCCAGATCACCAGTGATGAAGAATGCTTCTTACTTTCTGCAGAAAAGGTGGTGGATTAAACATGCACAACATGACAGTTTTTTAGGACTTGGCTAATGTGGGAATTTGTTTTACTTGACAATATGTATTTGTTACAAGACTTTTGTTTTTCTTTTTTTCAGCAGTGGGGGGAAAGTGGGAGGGTGATATAAAAATGCTTGTTAATTGAAAAAAATTGTTAAAAAGAAAGTGGGTCGCAGAGATGTTAGATAACTTTTTTGCCTAAGGTCACATTGTTAAGTCAGTCAGTGAACATTTATCAAGCACCCAATATGAGCCAGGCACTGTGTAAAGTGCTGGGGTTCTAAAGACAGTTCTTGTCCTCAAGGAACTTACTATCTAATGAGGGAAGACAGTATATAAAAGGAAACTGAAAAGGAAGGTAGAGGAACCCCAAATGATGAAGAGTTGCAAAGGAGCTCACCCATGATGGAAATGAAGAGATGGCTGGCCTACATGCTATCCTTAAAGGGGGTATTGGGAAGAGCTCTTTGCTCACCCTTCATTCAGAAGGGCAAAGGGTATTGCTGAGATGTGAGTACCAAGGCTGATGCTGTCTTTTCAGGATAATAAGGTTCCTGATGGTGAAGTTTCTGGGGGTATGATGGAAATGTCCAAAAAGAGGCAGTTGAGTGGGAAATGAAGTAATGAGCTAGGATTTGTACCTAGGTTCTCTGACCCATAAATCTAGCAACAAAAAAATAGTTTTATTGCTGCCTTTTGTTTTTTATACTGAAGTCAGTTCCCAATATCTCCCCTTACCTGCCATGGAAACTTCCCTGCTAACAAATTAAAACAGTTAAGAAAAACTGACTGGAAAATAATGACATGTACTACCATATACATCATTCCGCTTCCACAATCCCTTACCTTCCCTAGAGAGAAGGAAAGTATATTTTATTATCTACTTTCAGCCACCAAGGTTGGTGGCTGTTTTATTTTGGCATGTGTTTTTTTTAAAAAGTAACTTTTATTTTTCTTTTTACCAATTATTGAGCATTTTTTTTCCCTTCCCACTCTTGCCCCCACTGAAAAAAAAGAAACCGGAGGTGTGAGGTTAAATGTTTAACAATTGGCTCTCAAAAAAATGTATACACCACACACTTTTAAGCTTAATCTGCAAAATTAGTATTTTCTCCATTGCTTTATAAAATCTAGACAGTAAACAAAATAGTAAATCAAGCCCATATTTGGAGCACTTGCTGATTTTTGAGGTGTAAGTGTTTGCACTGAAAATTTAAGTTAGAGCTGACTCCAGTACACTTCTGCTTATAACCTATATGCATAATCAAGCAAGACAAATTCTCCCATTGGCCATGTCTAAAAATGTATGTTTCATTTTCTACTCTGAGTCTATCACTTCTCTCTCAGGAGGTAAGTAGCATGCTTCATTGCTGGTTCTCTGGAATCATTGCTGGGAATTGAATTGATCAGAGTTCTGGATTCTTTACTTCAGCTGAAGCAGACTAGATTTTGCTCTAGACTTTTTTATTTTAACTCTATGTGAATATTTATGTTTCAAGTGTGTTTTTGTAAACAACATATTGTTGGATTCTCCTAGCTAATCCATTGTGCTATCATCTTCCAATTATAGGTTGAGTTTATCCCATTTATACTTATGATTTCTTCCTTCAATTTATTTCCCATTGCTTTCCTTTAGCAGGTGCTTCTAAGTCCTACTAAAGTTGGCATCTGAAATTTTAAGTTGCCTAATTTCCCACCAAAATACTTCAAGAGAAAAATATTGCTCATTTTATTTTTAAAATAAAATTTTTACATCACTATAATTTCCCCAATAACTCTCCCCCTCCCCCTGCTGCAGAGACTTTTCATACAATAAATAGTATTTTTTAAAGAGTAAAACAAAAATCATTATACTGAAAATATGTATACTGTACAACATTTGTGGACCTTTCATCTCTGCAAAGAGAAGGGGGATATTATTTAAATGATAACCTTCAATATTCTTTTATACTTTTTACAAACTATATTAAAATTTTTATAACCCTTTGAAGTTCAGTTAAAATTAGGAAAAACTCTAAGTCTCTCTTTTATATATTTTATTTTTTTCAATTACATGTAAAAACAATTTTAACATGTATTTAAAAAATTTGAATTTCATTCTCTCCCCCCTTCCTCCTCATTGAGAAGGCAAGCAATTTGATACTTTATATATGTGCAGCTATGCAAAACATATTTCCATATTAGTCATGTTGTGAAAGAAGGCAGACAAAAAAGTGAGAAAAAAAGTAAAAAATAGTATGCTTCAATCTGCATTCAGACTCCATCAGTTCTTACTCTGGAGGTGGATGGCATTTTTCATCCTAAATCCTTTGGAATTGTCTTGGATTTTTTTTTATTGCTAAGAATAGCTAAGTCATTTACAGTTGATCATCCTGCAATATTGCTGTTCCTGTGTACAATGTTCTCCTGGTTTTGCTTGCTTCACTTTGCATCAGTTCATGAAAGCCTCTCTAGGTTTTTCTGAGAGCATCCTGCTCATCATTTCTTGTAGCACAATAGTATTCCATTACAATCATATACCACAACTTGTTCATCCGTTCTCCAATTGATGGGCATCCTCTTAATTTCCAATTCTTTGTCAGCACAAAAAAAGCTGTTATAAATATTATTGTACATGTAAGTCCTTTTTCTTTTTCTTCTAATCTCTTTGAGATACAGACTTAGTAGTGGTATTGCTGGGTCAAAGGCTATGCACAATATTTTAGCTTTTTGGGCATAGTTCCAAATTATTCTCTAGAATGATTGGATTAGTTTACAATTCCACCAACATCACTTTAGTGTCCCAATTTTCCCATATCACCTCTAACATTTGTTATTTGCCTTTTTTGTTGTATTAGCTAATCTGATGGATATGAGGTAGTATTTCAGAGTTGTTTTGATTTGCATTTCTCTAATCAATAGAGCATTTTTTCAT